AGCAAATCCATCTGGCGGAGTCAGGTTACCCCTTCTATGCCCTAACCCTAAAACTGACCCTAAACCTAACCATTAGCAATGCATACCTCACCCTAACCCAACTAACACCTTAGCCCCAAACCTAACCATTGATAAAATAGCATGTGAGGACCAGCAAAGTGTCCTCACTTTACAACAACTGGTGAAATTTGATGGTGAAATTGGAAATTGGAAAAATGGTCCTCACTCTGAGGGTTAGACAGTTATACACACACACACACACACACACACACACACACACACACACACACTCAGCTTCAGCAAAACATTTTTTAATGGACTAAAATCAGGGTATTTGTGAAGGTCACTCAGAAACATTAGCTTAATTGTCCATTTAGGAATCATTTTATTAGTCATATAAATGATCAATGCAATGTTCATTCTTCAGCTTCGAGTCCTTTTTCAGGCAGCTTTACCCGATTCATTTAAAACTAGCAACAGTCAATATGGCCAATTACATTGAGTTTTATAATAAGTGGAAATTCTGAGTCTTATATCATGGGTTATTACATTTTCAGCCTTCTCTCCAGATGAAAACCTTGTTAAATGGTCTGAACTCACCTTGATGAACATCTTGGCTTTATCCTCAGCTTCAGGAAGTTGCTCAGCCTTTTGGAAAGCTCGTTGGTAAACTGCAGAACAGAGATTTTAGTTCTAGGAATGTAACATATATGTTTTAGAATACAAGTTCTTGGCATGCAATGTTTAAGTTCTTAGAAAGTAACCGTTTGACTCTGAGGCAGTGGCGGTTCTAGACCAAAGGTACCAGGGGGCCAGGAGGGGGCCAGCGTGTTTTCATGGGGGAACAGAAAAGCATGAAACAAAAAACGGGATTCAAATATATTATGATAGCTTCATGAAGTTAGATTTCCATTCAATTAGGTTTAATTAAAATTCTACGTCTTTCAACTGAAAAAGTTTTTTTTTTGTGCTTGAAAATATTCATTAGGATTATCGTTAAAATCAAAATAAAAATTTAAAATAGAAATTAAAAATTAGCATAGCAAAAAAGCAACTCAAAAAATTGTAGCTATTTAAATATCTAAATGATCAAATAAAGCTATTATTTGAAATATTAGGTAAATATACATTCATAATTTTACAAACTAAAATTGTAACTAAAATTACAGTTTTCTATAAAATCTGAATTAAAATTCAAGAAAAGCTGATAAATTCAGCTGTAAAAATTAGAGTATTCTTTTTTATTTGTTTTGAAAAAACATTTAGCAGATGAAAACTGGGATCCTTTCTCAATGGTTACCTATCAGTAACCATGTCTGTTCCAGAGTATATCATTATTAGAATTTCTTTCAGTATTATGTGTTCAGTACAGGGGGCCAGGACATCACCTACAGGGGCACTGGCCCCCGTTGGCCCCTGTCTAGAACCGCCCATGCTCTTAGAAGGCAAGTTGTCGGATGTTTTAACTTCCAAAATCTCAGAAATAACCCATTGGTTCCTTTGATGTTACATGTTTGGAATTCTGGGAAAAACAGCCCATTATTATTATTTATATTATTTTTCTTACTTAAGTTGAAACAGATTATTTACTAAAGTAACTTTATTTTATTGTAAGGTATCCTGCTAGATAGTAAATTAAATGTGTACATTCTTGTAATGAGGTATGTAAGTATTTGAATTGTGACAAATGAGTTTTTTGGAATGTAACATGTAATTTTTTTGAAACTTAACATCTAAGTGCTACAATTGTAAAGTGTGAGTTCCTGGAAAGTAATAAGAGGGTTATTAGAGAGTATAACATAAGTCCTAGGAAAGTAAGCTTTTAGTTCTTGGAAAGAACAATGTAAGTTCATAGAGAGTTACATGTTGGTCGTTAGAATGTAGTCTGTCAATTCTTAAGGTACAACTTAAAAACCCTTGGAAAGAAGGTTGTTGGTTCTTAGAAAGTAATGTGTAAGTTCTTGGAAAGTAAGCCTTTAGTTCTTGGAAAGAAAGATGTAAGTTCATAGAGAGTTACATGTTGGTTGTTAGAATGTAGCGTGTAATTTCTTAAGGTACAACTTAAAAACCCTTGGAAAGGAAGTTGTTGGTTCTTAGAAAGTAATGTGTAAGTTCTTGGAAAGTAAGCCTTTAGTTATTAGTAAGAAAGATGTAAGTTCATAGAGAGTTACATGTTGGTTGTTAGAATGTAGCCTGTAATTTCTTAAGGTACAACTTAAAAACCCTTGGAAAGGAAGTTGTTGGTTCTTAGAAAGTAATGTGTAAGTTCTTGGAAAGTAAGCCTTTAGTTATTGGTAAGAACAATGTAAGTTCATAGAGAGTTACATGTTGGGCGTTAGAATGTAGCCTGTAATTTCTTAAGGTACAACTTAAAAACCCTTGGAAAGGAAGTTGTTGGTTCTTAGAAAGTAATGTCTAAGTTCTTGGAAAGTAAGCCTTTAGTTCTTGGTAAGAA